ATTATAGTCACGTATTTCTTCTCTGATTTATTGGTTTGGTTTGGCCAACTAGATTGATTTATCTTGCCATGGGAAGAGGTGCTTTGTAATGGGTTTGATCTTGAAGTTCTCAATCCCAGTGACAGAAAGGGACATGACACGTATGCATCGTTGCTATTAAGGGTAAAAAATGGGGTTTATTCATACGTGAGTTTATCTTGTCTACATCATGTCATCTTGCTTAAGGCGTTAATCTATTTTTCCATGAATTTAATACACTAGATGCATGCTGGATAGCGGCCCATGCGTGGAGTAATAGTAGTAGATGCAAAATCGTTTTGGTATACTTGTCTCGGACGTGACTCCTATATATGATCATTGCCTTGGATATCGTCATAATCATTTGCTTTTCTATCAATTTCCCAACAATAATTTGTTTACCGATGGTATGCTATTTTCAAGAGAGAAGCCTCTAGTGAAAACTATGGCCCCAGGTCTATCTTTTATCATATATTCTTTGATAAAATAAAAAACAAAAAATACCTTGCTGCATTTTTTTCGTATTTTTGTTTGATCTATCTATCAAAAACTATATCGTTTAATCTTGCTCATAACCGCTGAGGGATTGAAAACTACTATATGCATTGGGTTGCAAGTATTTGTTGTTTGTGTGTAGGTGATGTTTACTAGTCGTTGCTTGGTTCTCCTACTGGATTGATAACCTTAGTTTCATAACTGAGGAAAATACTTATCTCTACTGTACTGCATCATCCTCTCCTTTTCGAGGAAAGCCGAACGCAACTCAGAAGTAGCACAGACCACCCTGTAATCAAGTGATAGCTTCGCCACTGCTTATTGGTGTGTCGGCGGACCCTGGCAGCGGTCCTGTCGATGTAGAAGCTAGCAGTAGGCCATGCCACCAATCACTGTGACTACACGCTCTGGTCCTGGTCCAGGTGTGGCCCTCGTCCACGTCCTTGGCGCCAAGAAACCTCTTGACGGCGAGCCGCGGTGCCATGAGGCTGGTACTGCATGGCCTTAGCCTCAACGAAACTTCCCGTAAAACAGCCACAGGTGCAGCTGCAGCGGCAATTCCCTTTGGCGAGTAGCACGCGTTGCCCGTGCCCTCGACGTCCAGTTGCGGCGCAGCGACAGGAACCGAAGTCTGCTCGACCCTCCCTCTCCCTTCCTTGGGCCATCTACATTGCAGTGTTGTTCCCATCCATGACCAAGATTTGGTGCCAGGAAGACGGGGTGGGAGCTCCAGGAGGACGACAATTGAAGGGCGATGGGCAAGGGCACTGATAGGAGATGTGAGCGAGCATCCGGAGGGAGTGGGTGAGGGAAGGCAGAGGACGACGTCCTAGGCAAAGGAGTATATGGGATTTGGGGAGAAGGAACACATCCATTTTTTTGTTTTTTACTAGCAAAAGAGCATGTGTGTTGCAACGGGAGAAAAAAATACCATACATCCCAAACCCAGTAATCATGACTCAAGACGCTAATAGGTCCACGTCCGTTATTTCAACACATGGCATCACATCTATGTTTCCTCTTATCCTCCCTCCCACCCTCGCCGATGATGGTCTTAGTGCTCACACAATCACAACACATTTGAATGTGGTCAATCACAATACATTTGAATGAGAAATTTGTTATTTTCTATGAGGTTTTGACAAGGCGTGCATGCGTGGTTATAGATGGGTTCTTTCGCCTCCAATCTGGTTTTGCTGAGGTGTTAATTTCCAATCCAAATCTTCACCGGTACGAAAGAAAGGCAAATCATGTAGTATTGATTAAGGTTTCATCACCCCAAAAAGCATTTTGAAAATGGTTAACAGGTAAACTAAGATCATATTCAAATTGTACATATTTTTCGAATCAAATTATATATATGACATATTAAGTTCGGAGTTAGAGTTTCAAAGATATGAATATTTTAAAAAAAGCATTTGGTATGGACTACGGGTTGATT